ATAAATATATATATATTTATTTTTTTTTTTTTTTTTTTCGGACTGATTAAATAATGAGTCAAAAGATTAACAGCTAATAATATATATGTAGTCATTCGTCACACTGAAAATGGAAAGTATTTAATTTTGTGATACTGTATTCAGCAGTGTGCTTTGATGTATCTGCATGCATACAGCAAACATACTGCTGCATTTAATAAATCACATCCACCAAAATCACAGATTTAAACCTTTAATGATGCATTTATTTGAAATAGATTTTTTTTGTAACAATTTAAAAGTTACTTCCATTACAATGTTACATTTGATCAATTTAATGCATCTTTAAAAAATCTTACTGACCACCTTGATAGTGTATACTATATGTTACATTAAAATTAAATGTCAATATCTAATAAAATGGCATTCATGCATTTGAAAAGCGCCAATATAAGCGTCTAAATATGTCACTGTACTTTATAGTTTGTCTTGTAAATGAGCAGATTTAGTGAAGAATGACAGGAAGTTATTGTGTGGCCATGTGAGGTTGCCACATGTCAACAAGTCAAAAGCTTGAGCTAACTGGTCTACCACAGCTCCGACATATCAAACTACTTTAAAGACATTGGTATGTTATGTCAGCTGGTAAATGATGGTACTTTGAGATACACATTTTGCAGTCAAAAAAAACAAAACATACTTTTGTTATCGAAGGAACTTACACAAACATTGTATATAAATAAGAAAAAGGATATACTCACGGCCCACACAGGAGAAGTGAAACCCAGGATAGCACCTTGCATGCCCTCTGACACAAACGGCACAATGTTCTCCCCCAGACGTGTGTCTCAATACAAAGCCCTCAGGATGTTCAGAGCGTGGACCTGTATGTGCAGAAAAAACAAAGACCCATTAAACAGGCCTGATTCTACTCATATGTTTCTCTTAGAGATGAAGTGTGTGTGTGTCCACCTGTGGCACAGAGCTGCTCTCAGTATCTCCATCATTAGAGGGCATGGCCAATGCTGTCAGAGATCTCATGGTCATCTTCAGGAGTCCACAGCTGGATGATTTGGGCTCAGAGGACAGCAGGGCCTAAAAAGAGACAATGTTATCACAGCTAACACTTTCATGGAAGATTAACAGGCAAGTTCCCACACATTTGACATGGTTTGGAATGACATGAGGGTGAGTAAATGATGACAGAAGTTTCATTTTTAGGTGAACTGTCCTTTAAGCTGTATTTCAGACAGGACATTCCTTTAAGACGGGGCCAGTGAATGGCAGCATGACAGAGGAAAAATGACTCAGGGTGTGTAACCGAATATGCCCTCTGTTCTTTTGTCCTCGTGCCATAAGGGTGTGAACTCATCGCGCAAGACCACCTTTTCCGGGACATACCACAGGAATGTGCGCTTATGCCAGGCGTTGAGTTTATCCATCCTCTCGGTGTCTTATTCTTCCCTAAAACCCTCTCATTGTCTTGCGTTTCAAATCCAAAGCTCATTTTTCTTTGACTTCAGTATTCAGCTATTCTGACCTCTCAAAGGACTGTCCACTGGGGAAGATCTCCATCATAAAAACTATACGGAATCAATTACCGATCCGCAGATGTTCAAATAACACTAATGAAACAGTGGGAGATTCTTCAGAGATTGTCAGATTATTACTTATTTGTGTAAGCATGACTATTATAGAGGTGCTATGCGACTAGAACATCGCACACATTTGTGGTGAATTTTACAGTTAAGTACCTCTAGGCATTAAAGGTTTATCAAAGTAATTTTATGTTCTCATAGCCCCTGCTAATAAATGCTGCAACTGCACTTCATCATAGAAGCCTCTTTCTTTTTCTTCTTCTTAATAGTATTAATGTATTATTAATGTTATTAACAGTTGCACTGCCTAATACATTTGTGGAAACGGTGATAAATTTTTTTCAGGATTCTTTGATGAGAGAAAGTTCAAACGAACAGCATTTATTTGACAGAGAAATCTTTGACAATGTAAAAGTCTTTACTGATACTTTGAAACAATTTAATGCATCCTCGCTGAATAAAAGTATAATTTTGTTCCAAATAAATCTTTCTGACTCCATACTTTTGAAAAGTATTGTTTGTCACTGTAAAAATAGCCTATTTACAGGAGTATTTGGCGTTTAAGCGGACTAAATGATTGGAGAAGTCTGGTATAAGTCATCAGAGAGAAATATGTCATTTCACAGGAAAATCAGGTTACAACAATGGTTAAAAATTACAAGCTTAAAAAAAAAGATGCATTAAGAAAATATACAGGGTAAATTTCTTATTTGTCAACTTCAAAATTAGAAATTTATTACGGCTGTCAATTGATTCAATTTTTGAATCTAATTAATTACATGATGTGGCGATTAATTTATCTAATTAATCGCAAATGAAATTAGGCTGTGAAAATACCACCAAAATATCATTTAAAGCCATTATTGTGTTACATGAGAAAAGCATCAAGTAGATATTACAAAAAGTAGCTTTCAAAAGAAATATTTTATTTGATTCAACATGAAATTTATTACACATTTAGGCTAAAATGGCCTTACATAAACCATGATGGAACATAAAAGAAGATAATTTGAGAAACAAAACAGCTTGGTTACCAAAACAGTCTTCAAAATACCTTCTTTTATGTTCCACAAAAGAAAGTAAGTCATACAGGTTCGAAACGACATGAAGCTGCATTTTAGGTGAACTATCCCTTTAATGTAGTTTTTTAATATGGCAATTGTATTTATTTTATTTTATTTGAATGAAATGATACTCTAAATAAGAAACTAAAACTGCCAGTAGGTGGCAGTAAATGTCTTTATGAGTAAGTTACTGAGTCATTTATTCATTCATTTGATTTGTTCAAATGGCTGATTCATTCAGAAATGAAGTAAACGGCTCTTTATGAATGGGGCTTTAAATCATTGGTTCACCAGATTCATTCGAAATGCAGAATCATTCAGAAATCACCAGTGTTGTCAAGAGATGCACAACAGTTCTGCTGTGGCTTGGTAAAATTTAGCAAAAAACAGACAATATTGTGTCTAAAATATAACACAATAGTAAGTTTTTACTTACTGAACTGTTGAATAAAATCACATTTGCACTCGTGCTATTCGGGTCAAAAACACCACTCACGCTGCTCTTGTGATATCGCTTATATGAGACAAACTCATACAGGGGCATTTTTTGCCCCAATATCTTGCACATAACTGCATTTATGGACTACTGTACACCACGCAGTGAGTTGTTGCCCTGCATCATATTCGTCAACTGTATGAAATATGAGATGAAGATCAGGTCTGGGGCGGGGCGGGTGCGTTAACTGCGTTAAAATATTTTAATCGTGTTAATTTTCCAAACGAATTAATTATATTAACACGATGTTAAACTGACAGCCCTAAAATTCATACAAGAAGAAAGGGCTATCATTTCTTTACATACAGGTCTGGGGGCAGGGCCAGTGCGTTAACTGCGTTAAAATATTTTAATCGTGTTAATCGGGGGGGGGTATAGTGGTCTGTGCCGTACATTAAGGAGGCCCAAGGTACTAACCTGTATATAGAAGGGTATTCCTGCACTGCGGCGGGTCGCACACAGTTTAGAGGAGGGGTCACTGGCTTTCACTTCCTCAAGAACCTCCTTCAGCCATTGTGCTGGCAGCTGCTATAGTGCAGCACTCCCACTCCTAACACACACACACACACACACACACACAGATTACAACAAACCCACATAAGACCTTGTTGTGGAATTCTGAAGACTGTTGGTATCCAAGTTTGTGTGGTTCCCAGTGTCTCTCAAACATTTTTCTCTCCGTTTTCTCTGATGCGATATTATCCACAGTTTTCAAAGCAATCGAAAAATCTAATCACATCCAAATGTGATCTCAAAACATAGACTATAAAATGAACTGAATTTGAACACTCGTTCGTGGAAAATGTCAGACTAGAGCCAAGTTATACTACAGCGGAAAAGTTGTGAAGATTAACATCAGTTTTTATAAACAGTTTTTGTGGAACCATACATTGGCAGACTCTGTTGTCAGTCATGGTTTCCAAAAACAATATTAAGCAGCACAACTGTTTGATAATAATAAGAAATATTCTTAAGCAGCATATCAGAATGATTTCTGAAGGATTATGTGACACTGGAGTAATGATGTTGAAAATTCAGCTTTGAATTACAGGAGTAAATTACATTTTAAAATATATTAAAATAGAAAACGGTTATTTGACATCGAAAAAAATATATATTCCACAATATTATAAGTTTTACTACATTTTTGGTCAAATAAATGCAGCCTTGGTGAGCAAAACAGACTTCTTACCAAAATCATAAGAGAGGCCAAACCTACAGGAAAATTATTTTTCAGCAGCAAAGCTGTGATTAAGAAAAGAAATCTCAGTAAGCCACACAATTTGAGGGATCATTCATGTTCATAGCACAAAGTTCGAAGTATTGTTTGTATGGGATGAGTTGCACAACGATTTATTCTTCATGTTAAAGGTTTGTTCAAAATCCTATTCCAAAGTATGAGCAATAATAATAGAGATGCTTGCCTAAGCAAGCACTGTAATTACACTGCAAACCTCGGTTGAACACACACACAAACACACAGCAGGAGCTGCCCAAGCGTGTGCAGGACGCCCACTTTGAGAGCGGAGAAAAATGCAAGGCTCTCGTTATGAAAAGTACCGTTATACCAGACGTGCTGGAGCAAACAATCTAAACCACACAGAGCACCCGGGCTCACACATACCTCTCACGACCCCAAACACAAGGGGAAACCTTCAAAAGGCAGCCGTCGAACGCCCCACAATCAACACCTCGTGACAGGCTTAGTGGTTGCCGGTGGAGCCGTGTAATCACACAGCAATGCTTTTCCTCCAGAAGCACTTCTAAGACTCCATACAGACACAACTGCTAATGCAGGCCGATCCATCACAAACGCTTCCTCAGCGATTTCAAGAAATGTTACAATCTCAGGATTGAGCATTTGTTTGCATGCACGTTTTTTGTCTGTTTTGGACCTTTTATGGGTATGGTTCTGGTTTCATTAGGATATGTAATGCCCACTTTTCTTTCATTCTCAGATACGCAGCCCAATAACTTTCCACTTTAATCTCTGCCCAAACACACAATACACCTACGTTTCACCATTTCTCATTACCGGAGCGAGTTTGGCAGCACTAATATTGCGATTAACAACTAACTCGTGCAGTGCTTGTCTCAAGTCGTACGAATGTAAATGACGAAACAATTAGTTGTTGACATTTATACAGCAAAGATTCACCAAACTCACTTTCAAATTTCAGTTGCAAGTCTTAATAAAGTAAAAGAGTCTCTTCTGTTATTGTATATACTGTATTTATCACTCCTAGCAGACTACAAAATCTACAACCAGTGTTATTTTAGTATTGTTTATGTTGTTTGTTTGTACAGTTTTTATGATCATTTTTAAATAGCTTTTATTTTTATATTTTATATAAAAAAAAATAGTATATAGTTTTTTAACAATTGTACATGATTTCGATTTTTTTTTTTTTACATTTATTTCTTTTGTTTTTAAATATGGATATGGAAATAACTTTTATTGTACTTCTGCTGCTGCAAAAAAAATGCTCATCAGTAATTTTGTCTTGTTTTCCAGTGCAAATGTCTAAAGATTCTTACATCAAGATACATTTACGTGAGATGCAAAATGACATAAGATGACTTGTTTTCTGACCAAAGTGAAGAGAGTTCATGATTAAAAATATTTGCCAATGGGCTCAGAAACAAAAGGTTTATATACCTCATTGACAGATATTTATCGTTTTAAGCATAAACTTGCTTAATTTTGTTCAGTTTTTTAAGTCTTAATTTTACATCTTGAGTATCTAGATTTAAGGAAGTATATTTGTATTAGAAAATAAAACTACTGAAGATGATGTTCATTTTTTTGCAATGCATGCAATATTTAATGTCATGACTTCATGAAAATAATTAATAAACTAATCAATAGTAATAACTAATTTAATAATTCATGAACTAATTTACTAATACGTTTTTAATTCAATATTTTCATTTAATTTTAGCTTTATTTCAGTTAACCAACATTTATTTTTATTAGTTTAGGTTTATGATAATAGCTCTGGATATTGACTGTTTTCACAATTCAAAAGAGTTTCATGAAAATAAAGTAGAAACTGCAGAGAGGCAAATTAAAAGTAGAAGAGGAAAGCAGAAGGCAGGAATGGAGTCAGATCATTAAAGACGCTCCCTCTGCAACTCCACAGCAGCAGAAGTGATCTGATGTCCCATTCATGTCACACTTGTGGCAGCAAGCGGGTCAATATCCTTAACTTCTGCACAAAGACCACATTCCGAAGCTCATTAAATCTCACATTTCCAGATGTTAACAGTTTTTAAACTTCCTGATCATTTGAAGCTTGTCCTTCAGGAGCAGTGCTGGTTTCCAGCCCAGCACCTGAGAGGGAGCAGGAATGAGGAGGAGGAGGGCTGGACTCATTCAGGTATGAAACGTTACTGCCAAGCACAACATCAGGGGCTCTGGTGGAGCAGTCCTCGTGACTCCCTCATCTATAAAGATGCACACTTGTTCTGACTGAGGCCTTTGGGTTGAAAACATCCTGAATTTTATAATGACAAGGGGCGTATTTTACTGGACAGAGAGTTGATGAGTCTGTATGTGTGTTTTAATCATTAATATATAGCTGCTGGGTTAGGTCGAGCAATCTGATTGGGTAAGATCTCTCACCTGCAGAGCATCTCAGTGAGCTGAACAAAACCCACGTAGGCCAGTTCAAACGCCCCCCTGTGACGAGACTGTAGCAGCTGCTCCCGAAAGTACTTCCCCACACCTTCCACCTGACAGACAGACAGACGGAGATTAACACACTGCCTCAGTTCAATCTTTTGAACCCATAAGTATATGTTGAACCAGACATACAGCATTAATTTCGAAGTGTTCAATATTTTTACTTTTTTTTCAGCATATACATACATTTGCAGCATTTAGTGCCTAGAAAAACAGATATATGTATTATATCTATAAAAAAGCTCCTCTCACAGGCGGGCAGTGGTTAAGGTCCACATGGCAGCAGAGCATCTATTTACACTGATTGGGTAAGATCTCTCACCTGCAGAGCATCTCAGTGAGCTGAACAAAACCCACGTAGGCCAGTTCAAACGCCCCCCTGTGACGAGACTGTAGCAGCTGCTCCCGAAAGTACTTCCCCACACCTTCCACCTGACAGACAGACAGACGGAGATTAACACACTGCCTCAGTTCAATCTTTTGAACCCATAAGTATATGTTGAACCAGACATACAGCATTAATTTCGAAGTGTTCAATATTTTTACTTTTTTTTCAGCATATACATACATTTACAGCATTTATATGAATTTTTTCAATGTCATTTCATTGTAAATTTTAAAAATCCTTTATTCACTCACCCCACTTTTTAAACCTGTATGACATGCTTCTGTGGAACACAAAAGAAGATATTTTGAAAAATAATAATAATGTTTTTTTTGAACTTGGATGGTATGAACAGCTGAAACATTCTTCAAAATATCTCCTTTTACGCACCACAGAACATCAAATGGCATGAGGGTGAGCAAATGACGACAGAATTTTGGATTCAGAACCTGAATTTTAAAAGCACCCTCGATATACTTCTGAATGGCACACATTCCTGTTCACGAATGTGCCTAGAAAAACAGATATATGTATTATATCTATAAAAAAGCTCCTCTCACAGGCGGGCAGTGGTTAAGGTCCACATGGCAGCAGAGCATCTATTTACATCGTACTCCAAACTGGTACCACCAAACTTTACTTACGCTCCACGTGCGCGGAGAAATTTCACAACATGGCCAGCTAATTACACGTCAGGGTCAGTGACCTAAATAGAGGCTTTTCCTGCATGTCTAGCACTAAGAGGGTTAAACACAAGTCTAATACTGTTTGCTGGTTGTTTTGATTCAATTAGCTTAAACTTGCACTGAATTAGGAAATTCAGAATTAGAAAAAATATATACAAACAAATAACACAGATGGCCATTTATTAGCTACGAAAAACTGGATGCAGAGTGCAACAAAATAGCAGGTTGAAAATTATTCTGACTTAAACAAATCAGTAATTCTGGTTGGTCACAACTTACATGTCTGTTCTGGCCACACCAGGCATAAAAAAAAAAAAGATTTAGATTTTTCATAAATTATAAATGCTATTGGTCACTCTTTAAGTCTTTCTGTTGGTTTTACAAATATTTCACCAGTGAAAAAATTATAAAAAGTGCTTGTGTCTGAACTTCATAACGCCACTGGATTCTCAAACTGTCACCAAAATCTCCACCGATCTTGAACGAAGCACCGCTCACAAAGTTTGGAGATGATCTCTGCTTGTTTGCGATGCAAGGGTAAATAAAGAACTGTTTTTTTGAATAAGCACAGGGTTTACACTCTATAGAGGCTAATGTTTTATGTATTTGAAGAATGGAGAAGAGTATCTTAGTCTAAAATTCGCTGGGTAATGCTAGTGAAAAGCAATACTATCTTAAAGTGATAGTACACCCAAAAATGCTGTTGTAAATAATGTTCAGTTTCTTGCACAGACTGATCGTTCAGGAGCCACGGGTATTAATTTTGTGCTGCCTGTATATGCTTTTTTTTGGCTCTCAAGTGCCATTGACTTGCATTTTATGAATCACCAAGGTCCACAGTTTCAGCTAAAAATCTTCTTTACTGTTCTACTCAAGAAAAAAAAAAAAACACCTACATCTTGGAGTAAATTAACAGCAAACTTTCATTTTTGGGTGAACTATCCATTTAATAGGTTAAAAGTTGCATAAGTGTTGTTTGATGGTTTTCTGAGGTTCACTAGCACTCTCACCTCTCTCAGCAAGACCATTTCTTTCTCTCTCTGCTCCAAAAGGCTTTTCAGGTGATGGATATGCATCTCAGCATCAGCCAGCCTCCGTGTCCGCTCGTGGTCCTCCTCGCTGGCCTTGGCCGACAGCCCTTTGCTCTGCAACATCTCCAGGAGCTTCTTGATGGATTCGTCTCGAGCGCAGAGCGTCTGTTTCTGCGTGTCGATGCGCAGCTCCATCTCCTCCAGAGTCTTCCTCAGGAGGAACAGTTCCTTGGCCTGCCGCTCATGCTCACCGTGCAGCCGCTGGAAGTTATCCTCGGTAAGCTCGGCAGTCAGGGGCTCGCCGGGACGAACGCTGGGGTCTTGCTGGAACAGCTGGTTCAGATCTCTCTGGATCCGCAGCTCATCCTGGAGGGCCTGGATGGTCATCTGGAGATGCTACAGATAAAACAAATGAATAAGAGATAAAGCTTATGTAAATAACGGTCGCTTGCAACAAACTAGCACAACTAAAATTCTGGCTATATCTGGCAATGTTAATCTGATATAATATATAAGAATGAACACATTTTTAAAAAATATATTAAGTCTGTCAATTTAATTACTTTTTTAAAATATATATATTTTTTACATGTTTTAATTTAAGTTAAAAATAAACAAAAACAAAAATACAAAAAACATAAATAAAGCATAAACAAATAAAAAAATAAAACCAGATATGAATAAATAAAAACTTAAATAAAATAAAATAAAATAAATAGATAGATATAAGAAAAGAAAGAAATAAAGAAAATAAAACCTAAACAAATAAACACAAATAAAGGCAAATATAAATAAATAAATAAATGCAACAAATAAAATAACACAATAACAAAATAAACAATAAATGAACTAATAACAAATGAAAACAAAAATAAATAAGTACAAAAATAAGAACATAAGAATGAATAAATAAGGAAAGACAGAAAGAAAGAATGAAGAAAATACATTAAACCTAAACAAATAAAACAAAACAACTGAAAATAAATAAATACATTTAACACTAATAAAACTAATATAAATGAATGAATGAATGGATGAATGAATGAATGAATGAATGAATGAATGAATGAATGAATGAATGAATGAATGAATGAATGAATGAATGAATGAATGAATGAATGAATGAATGAATGAATGAATGAATGAATGAATGAATGAATGAATGAATGAATGAATGAATGAATGAATGAATGAATGAATGAA